CAGACTGGCTATCATCAACAAATCAACAAACGACAAGTGCTGGAGAGGATGTGGAGAAAAAGGAACACTCGTGCACTGCTGGTGGGGATGCAGACTCGTGCAGCCACTGTGGAAAACAGTATGGCGTTTCCTCAAAAAACTAAAAATGGAACTCCCATTTGACCCTGTGATCCCACTTCTAGGAATATATCCCAAGAAGCCAGAAACACTAATCAGAAAGGATATATGCACCCCTATGTTCATAGCAGCACAATTCACCATAGCTAAGATCTGGAAACAGCCTAAGTGCCCATCAGCAGATGAATGGATTAGAAAACTGTGATACATCTACACAATGGAATACTATGCTGCGGTAAAAAAGAAGGAACTCTTGTCTTATGCAACAGCATGGGTGGAACTGGAGAGCATTATGCTAAGTGAAATTAGGCAGTCAGAGAGGGATAAATACCACATAATCTCACTCATTTGTGAAATATAGAGAACTACATAGACTGATGAACAGGGACAGATCCAAAGACAGAGAAACAGCGATCAGACTATCAATCCTCAGAGGGAAAGTAGGGGAGGGTGGGGGTGAGGGAAGAGATCGACCAAAGGACTTGTATGCATGCATATAAGCCAAACCAATGGACATGGACAACAGGGGGATGAGAACATGAGTGTGGGGGGGGAGGTTGGGGGTTAATGGGGGGATGAGGACACATTTGTAATACCTTAACCAATAAAGAAATTAAAAAAAAAAGAAAAGATGGACTATGTCAACAAAATACAAGATGGGGACCTTGTTTGGATGCTGACTCAAAAAAATTCCACGGTAAAAAGCCAATTTTGAGACAACTGGAAACATCTGTCTTCTGGATATTTGATGACATTAAGGGGAATGTTACACTAGTATATTAAAATTATTTTTTTTATATATTTTATTGATTTCCCACAGAGAGGAAGGGAGAGAGATAGTCAGAAACATCGACGAGAGAGAAACATCGACCAGCCGCCTCCTGCACATCCCCCACCGGGGATGTGCCTGCAACCCAGGCACATGCCCCCGATCGGAATCGAACCTGGGACCCTTCAGTCCGCAGGCCGACGCTCTATCCACTGAGCCAAACCGGTTTCGGCTAAAATTATTTATCTTAAAAAACAGAGATGTAGTCCTGGCTGGGTAGCTCAGTTACTTAGAGCATTGTCCAGATATGCCAAGGTTGCGGGTTTGATCCCTGGTCAGGGCAAATACAAGAATCAACCAATGAATGCATAAACAAGTGGAACAAAAAATCCATGTTTTTCTCTTTCTCTCTCTTCCTCTCTCTAAAATCAATACATTAAAAAAAAAAAGCTGTGGACCCTAACCGGTTTGGCTCAGTGGATAGAGCGTCCCAGGTTTGATTCCGGTCAAGGGCATGTACCTTGGTTGCGGGCACGTCCCCATTAGGAGATGTGTAGGAGGCAGCTGGTCGATGTTTCTCTCATCGATGTTTCTAGCTCTCTGTTCCTCTCCCTTCTTCTCTGTGAAAAATCGATAAAATATATATTAAAAAAAAAAGCTGTGGTACATTTACACAATAGAATAGTACTTGGCCATAAATAAAAGAAAATCTAACCTATAAAAAACACAGAGATGTATACAAAGGGCAGAAAAGACAAAGAACTTTGTAGAAAATGTTACCAATTGGGATATCTGGGTGATGCAAGTATATGAATTTTTGGTCTTACTCTTGCAACTTTTCTGTAAGTATGAAATTGTTGTCAAAATAAAAAGTTAAGCCTGGCCAGCGTGGCTCAGTAGTTGAGTGTCAACCTATGAACCAGGAGGTCACTGTTTGATTCCTGGTCAGGGCACATGTCCAGGTTGTGGGCTCAATCCCTAGTGTGGGGTCTGCAGGAGGCAGCTGATCAATGATTTTCTCTCCTCATTAATGATTCTATCTCTCTCTCCCTCTCCCTTCCTTTCTGAAATTAATAAAAATATATTTTTTAAATGTTAAAATAAAAAACCTTGCACATTCACCAGAATAGCTAAAAAAAAAAAAAAGTGCCAAGTATTACAAACTTGTGCAGCAACCCAATGCTCATTCCTTCTGGTGGGAATGTAAACTGTTACAATCACTTAGAAACAGTTTGGCAGTATCTACAAAATCTTTTCACATGGATACCCTGGGACCCACCAATTCCCCTTCTAGTTATATACACGCAACAGAAAAGTGCACTATGTTCAACTGAAGATATACAAGAATGGTCTTAGCAGTACCATTTGTAAAGAGCTCCAAACTAGAAACTACCCAAATGGTCTACGGACAGGAGAACAGATAAATTTAAGTATATCCTTGCAATAGCATACTATACAGTAGTAAGAGTGAAGGAAATACACCTACATGTAACGACATGGACGAATCTTATGTACATAATATTGACTAAATGACACTAGACACAAAAGAATGCCTACTGCATTTATAGAAAATATGAAAATGAAACTGATCTATGCTGTCAGAAGCTAGGATAGTGGTTAGCCTTATAGGAGTTGGTAGCTTGGAAGGGCATCTGGGTTGCTGGTAATGTTCTTTTTCTTGATTTGGGTGTTCATTACATAGATTTGTTAAATTTGTAAAATTTCACTGAGATGGGGAGGGAACTAGGTGGGTTGGGAGGTAAAGGGCAGACATCTGTAGTACTCTCAATAATAAAGGTTAAACAGCCCCAGTCGGTTTGGCTCAGTAGATAGAGCGTCGCGGGCTCGACCCCATTTGAGGGGGGGGGGGGGTGCGTGTAGGAGAAAGCAGATCAATGAATCTCTCTTCACTGATGTTTCTATCTCTCCCTTCCTCTCTGAAATAAATAAAAATATATTTTAAAAAAATGTGTGCTGTGTCTGAATTATTGTGTTTGCCCAGCCTGCCAACAAAATTTTTGTTTTATTTGTATTTACTTAAAAAAAAATCAGAATCCTGACCTAACCGGTTTGGCTCAGTGGATAGAGCATCGACCTGCAGACTCAAGGGTCCCGGGTTTGAGTCCGGTCAAGGGCATGTGCTTTGGTTGCGGGCATATCCCCAGTGGGGAGTGTGCAGGAGGCAGCTGATCGATGTTTCTTTCTCATCGATATTTCTAGCTCTCTATCCCTCTCCCTTTCTCTCTGTAAAAAAATCAATAAAATATATTTTTAAAAAAATCAGAATCTTTACTTGCATATATCTGTAGAATCCTGAGTTCCTAAAGCATATAATGAAGAACCAATTCTATTGCAATCATCTGCAGCACCTATGGAAAAATTTTCAAGAATGTAATATATTTATTCTTTAATTAAAAAATATTGAGCATCTACCTGCCAAACAATGTGTACGTAATAGGAGGTAGCCAAAGTCCACTGAAGGAAATGAGAAAAACTATAATACAATATGATGAATATTACATTAGAAGGAGGTACAAACTACTATGGCAGCAACAGAAACAGATGATTTCACCTGAGTAAGTCAGAGAAGCATTTATAGACACTCCAGAATGAATTTGAGCTTGTAGGATGAGCAAATCTTTACCAGGTAATGTGTAAGGGAGAGCATTTCAGATAAAGGGAAGAGCATGAATCAGGCCAGGGAGGCATGAAGAGCACGTTCAGAGAGCCTTCTGGGACTATGGCACTGAAGGGTACAGAGGGAAAGTAGATGGAGTTGACCATAAGCATCTTTGAGTCTAAGGACAAAACTGACAACCAATATGAAAGTGTCCCACACTAGGTTTGTTTTTCATAGCTATATGATTGTAGCAATTCTGTAACGATGCTGTGTGTATCGTAGGCTTTAGTAAGTAAAGGGATCCTGGGAGTCAAGTATGGAATGGGAGGACACGGAGGGAGGCTGTTGTGTTAAGTGGGAAACTGGAATTGAAGATATCAGTAGGGCCTCATTCTTTTTAACAGACCTAGATGCGTGTAGGGAATGCATGTAGTATTTCCTAGCCCGATCCACCTAAGGGGCCTCCACGTGAAGACACCTGGTAACAATAAGCACACCCAGGGGCCTGTTCTTGCTTTCCAAATGCCATTCCCCATGAAAAGAACCAGAGTTTTTGGAGAAATAGATGATTTTCAAGGAGCCAGGGAAGGGGAGCCCTTCCCTGGGTGAGCCCGGAACACGCTGTGCCAGAAAATAAGGAAATGCTCCAAAGAGCATGTGAGCATCTCCAAAGGCAGCCGACTAGACAGGGCTTCCATGGGCCCAATTGAAGAACATCTGAACATCCAAATAAATAAAAGCAGTGATGGCCTGGCCAGAGTGGCTCAGTGGTTGAGCTTTGACCTATGTGTGGACCAGGAGGTCAGGGCACATGCCCGGCCCCAGCTGGCAGCAGCTGTTTGAGTGACTCCACTGGAGACCTGAAGAACTGCCCAGCTGAGCTCAGCCAGAATTGCCGATCCAAAGAGTTGTGAGCAAATAAATGGTCATTATTTTAAATCACTGTCTGAGGGCACTCTGTTCCACAGCCCTGGGTAACTGGTACACCACCTTACCCAAGTAATCAATGTCAACACCACCAACACTTCAACAAATGACCTCAAGTGCCTGCAAATGTGGTGCCCAGAGGAGGACACGGCATTACATTGTTAGGGCGGTTACAGCAAAGTACAGGCTCACCTCGTTTTGTTGGGCTTCAATTTATTACTTTTCACAGGCATAGCGTTTTCTTCGTATTTTTTTGTTTGTTTTGTTTTTAATCCTCACTCTGGGATAGTTTTTTATTTATTTTAGAGACAGAAACGGGGAGAGAGAGAGAGAGAAACATCAATGTGAGAGAGAAACATAGATCAGTTGCCTTCCACAGATGCCCCTTCTGAGGGTGGAACCTGCAACCTGGGCAGGTGCCCTGACCGGAATAGAGTCTGCATCTTTCGGTGTCCAGGATGATGCTCCAACCCACTGAGCCACACCGGCCAGGACAGTCGTTGTGTTTTTTTAAAATCAGAAGGCTAGACTGTCCTGGCCGGTGTGGCTGAGTGTTTTTTATTTTTATTTTATTTATTTATTTTTGGCATTGTCCAAAATATTGTTTTATTCTTTCATGGAAAAGCCATTAATATTCAAATGAAAGAATCACATTAAAAAACTGACATAAGAAACAGCCTCCAAGAACACCCCAGCAGCAGTCAGAGGGAGGGAAAGTGCTCAACAGCCCAGCAGTTTTCTTCAAAATAGTACTTGACAGAAGCCACCCCATCCACCGGCTACAATTCATAGGATTTTTCATTGTTTTCTTGAGATGCAAAAGTTCACTGTTGCAGTGTTTTCAAATGACCAATCAAGTGCTACTTCTTGGTACCAAGGGCACGGTAGATGCGTCTGATTGTCGAGAACGTTCCTCCACTGCTGGAAACATCTGCTCCCGAGAAAAGAAGGCGCAAGTTGTGCTGAGCCTCACAACTCGTCTTTCTCCAAGTCGCCCAGCTCCACGTCGCTGAGGCCAGTGTCGCCTTCCGCAGGAGGCTCGCCGTCCTTGCCGCCCCAAGGCTCTCTGGTGCTGATGGGGGGACAGCCCTCCTCCTGCAGGTGCTGTAGATCCTCGCCCAAAAGGGAGCTCCCCCACATTTTCTTCTTGTGTTTGTCCGCCAATTTCAGAAGAACGTCCAAATCAGAATTTCTGCCTGCAGCTCCCGTGTCGGGAATGTGGGGCAGGACGGCCACCACACAGAGCTGGTGCTCCTCACACGTCTTCTTGGCGATGCCCTCACTGATGAGCTCCAGCAGCTCAGGAGGCGGAGCGTGGTCAGGAAACAGGTCCAGGGTCCGGGAGACGATGTCAGATCTTGTCCGCACCCCGTCACAATCCACAGGAGACTCGCCTTTCTGGAATGTCTTGATTGTAGGAAATCCGCTAATCCCGTACCGGCCGGTCAGCATCTGGTTGGCCGTGGCGTCCGCAGCCGCCAGCTTCACCTTCCCTTTCGCTCGCTCTTTCACCGCTGTGGCTGCAGCGGCCCATGCTGGCTCTAGGTTTTTGCAGGGTCCACACCAGGGGGCGTAAAACTCAACCATCCAAACGTCTTCACTGTCAAGAACGTTCTTGTCAAAGCAGTCGTCCGTCACTTTCTTACTTGAACTGTCACTTCGACCCCGTCTTCCAGCGCTGTAGCCCCCGCCGCCGAGGCGGCCCCTGACGAGCTGGCGCAGGGCACCGACAGCAGCACCCACGATGGCGTCCGCAGGCCTGCCGCCCTGATAATGTTCTGGTCTGTTTCTGTTCGATCCGAAAATCTTGATGGTAGGGAACCCCTGCACCCCATACTGGCCTCCGAGGGACTGATGCTTATCCGCGTCCGCTGCACCCACTTTCACGACATCTTTTAATGCAGTTGCTACTTTCTTCCATTCTGGTGTTAACCGCTGGCAGTGGCCACACCATGGAGCAAAGAATTCTACAAACCACAAACTATTACTTTGAATAACTTCTTGGTTGAAATTGGATGGAGTTAATTCAATGACATCATCACTAGAGGCATACAGCCCGTTCACTGTTAGAAATAAGGCGCAGCTCCCCAGACCTTGGTTGCGGGCACATCCCCAGTAGGGCGTGTGCGGGAGGCAGCTGGTCGATGTTTCCAGCTCTCTATCCCTCTCCCTTCCTCTCGAGCTCCAGGCGAGCGATGCCGAGCGTCAGGGCCGCCGCCTCTGCTCCGCCGCGCCGCCCGGCGTGTTTTTTAGAGCCTCCGCCCGGAGCGCTGAAGGGTGGAGAGTTCAGTACCTGGGTTTCAGGTCCATCCCTGCCCCGCGCCAGGCGGGTTTGGGAGGCCACCAATCGTGGATGTTTCTCTCCCTCTTTCTCTCTGTGTCTGTCTCTCCGCTACCAGCCTCCCTCCCACGCTCTCTCTAGAAAGCAATGGAAGAAATGTTCCGGGCTGGGGATTCACACCAACAGCAGCTACTACAACAAACAGGCTGCTGCACAGAGTCCCCATCTCCCCGCAGCGGGGCCGCCCCCGTCCTCCAGTCCGCCTCCCCCGGCTGCGCTCCGGGGACCGACCGCTCAGGAGCCACCATGTCCGCGGGAGGCGCCTTCAGCCTCCACTCGGCTCAAGAAGGAGCCTTCTCGGCGGAGGAGAGAGAGACCCGGGGGCCTGAGGCGGCCCCGAGCCCCGAGCCGGGAGCGTGACATTTCCGTTCCTCTCCTTTCAGAGGCGCGCCGCCCCCGCCCCGGCCCCCGCGTCGCCACCGCGAACGGCCGCCTCGACCCGACCTTCCGTCCCCTGTTCCTTTCCCTGCGGCTCGATGGGGTCACCGTCTAACCGGAAAGGCCCGGAACGAGGAGTGAAACAGTTTCCTGCCGCCCCAGCCGGTCTGGCTCCGTGGACAGAGTGTCCTGCGGACCAAAGGGTCCCGAGTTCCATTCCATTCAAGGGCACGTGCCGGGTCCGGGCTGCAGGAGGCACCCACTGGATGTGCTCCTCTCACATCCGTGTCTCTCTCTGTCTTTCCCTCTCTCTCCCGCTCCCCCTAAAGGTCAACGGGAAAGTATCCTCGGGTTGAGGAGTAACAACAACAACAACAACAATAGGACAGTTGGTGACGAAACTCTGATCTCAGTCTCTAAGTTGAACGGACTCTGTGCTGCGTGTCATTTCGGTTGACAGGAAGGCGAGACCAAGCCCGGGCCCTGACCCACCCTCGGTGGGGCCCTCACAAGTGCTGGGCGCCGGGTGCGGCGAGACCCCGTCCTCCCTCCCGGGTCGGGGACTCGTCTCCTCGCGGCCACAGGCGCGGATCAGAACCCGGAGACAGGGCGCCGGGGACGTCAGGCCGGGGGCGTGGCGTATGCAGATGAGCAGGCGCGCAGAGGCTGCCGGTCGCACTCCGCCGGCGCCCCCACGTCCCCGCATCCCGAGATGGACGCGCCCCCGGGGTTGCTGTCGCATCGGGCGCGGTTGTCGCTCGGGTCCCTGGGGCAGCGAGGGTGCCGCGGCGTGTTGAGTGTAGTGAGCGTGTGTGAAGAGTGTGTGGCGCGTGGGGGTTGGGGTGTGGGCGGGGGCAGCAACTCATACTTACCTGGCAGGGGAGATACCATGATCACGAAGGTGGTTTTCCCAGGGCGAGGCTTATCCATTGCACTCCGGATGTGCTGACCCCTGCGATTTCCCCAAATGTGGGAAACTCGACTGCATAATTTGTGGTAGTGGGGGACTGCGTTCGCGCTCTCCCCTGGTTTTTCCGGTTCCAAAAGCAGAAGTGTGCTTGTAGTATTGCGTGCGAAGGTGCGTGGCCTTTCTGTTCCTGACACTTCCACTTGGGAAGTGTTTTTCTTCTTCTCCTAATAAAAGGGCTACAGTGGGCTTCAGTTGCTCTTGCATTCTCTTTACCCCCCTCCCGACTTTCAGAACTTCTCATATATAATAGATTTCAGAGTGAGAGGGAGATAGAAACACAAGCAAGATCAACTGTCTGAAATTTGCTTTATTTTCAAAATATTCAGCAGTTTGTTCTCAAACTTCTTTATGTACGTCTACATAAACATACACATACATCAACTACATCAAAATGTGAATGTAGTAAGATTATCTTTTAATCTTTTCTCTTTTCTAAATATTAGTGTTTTTTGTTTTTCTTTTGTCGTACCATGAGGTGTGTTTTATTTCATTAATCATACAAATAATTTTCTACAATAACTAACCGAGGGCAAACCGGAGAATTTGGCAGTCTGCTGCGGGGGAGGAGCCTCACAGGCCCCCGTGGCTCAACAGTTGAGCATGGACCTATGAACCAGGAGGTCACGGTTAGATTCCCGTCAGGGCACATGCCTGGGTTGCAGGCTTGATCCCCAGCTGGTGGGGTGGGCATGCAGGAGGCAGTCGATCAATGATTCTCTCTGATCATTGGTGTTTCTATCTCCCTCTCACTCTGAAATCTATTATATATGTATTTTAAAAGGAGCTCTATAGGTAGGATAGCCTTGGCTGCAGGCAACTAACACGATGAGCAGCTTCTGCAGGACAGAACTTCGACGACCTCTCATTCCGAACCTGCACTTTGGGGAAAACCCACCGTCCCACCGTCCCACCGTCCCACCGTCCCACCGTCCCACCGTCAGGCATTATTTGCTTTGGGATTGCCCAGTTCTGTGCTGAGGAAGATTTGAACCTGGGTAGTAAGCAGCTAAGAATGTCAAACTGGTTTGAGAAGTTCTGAAAGCCGGGAGGGGGGTAAAGAGAATGCAAGAGCAACTGAAGCCCACTGTAGCCCTTTTATTAGGAGAAGAAGAAAAAACACTTCCCAAGTGGAAGTGTCAAGAACAGAAAGGCCACGCACCTTCGCACGCAATACTACAAGCACACTTCTGCTTTTGGAACCGGAAAAACCAGGGGAGAGCGCGAACGCAGTCCCCCACTACCACAAATTATGCAGTCGAGTTTCCCACATTTGGGGAAATCGCAGGGGTCAGCACATCCGGAGTGCAATGGATAAGCCTCGCCCTGGGAAAACCACCTTCGTGATCATGGTATCTCCCCTGCCAGGTAAGTATGAGTTGCTGCCCCCGCCCACACCCCAACCCCCACGCGCCACACACTCTTCACACACGCTCACTACACTCAACACGCCGCGGCACCCTCGCTGCCCCAGGGACCCGAGCGACAACCGCGCCCGATGCGACAGCAACCCCGGGGGCGCGTCCATCTCGGGATGCGGGGACGTGGGGGCGCCGGCGGAGTGCGACCGGCAGCCACTGCGCGCCTGCTCATCTGCATACGCCACGCCCCCGGCCTGACGTCCCCGGCGCCCTGTCTCCGGGTTCTGATCCGCGCCTGTGGCCGCGAGGAGACGAGTCCCCGACCCGGGAGGGAGGACGGGGTCTCGCCGCACCCGGCGCCCAGCACTTGTGAGGGCCCCACCGAGGGTGGGTCAGGGCCCGGGCTTGGTCTCGCCTTCCTGTCAACCGAAATGACACGCAGCACAGAGTCCGTTCAACTTAGAGACTGAGATCAGAGTTTCGTCACCAACTGTCCTATTGTTGTTGTTGTTGTTGTTACTCCTCAACCCGAGGATACTTTCCCGTTGACCTTTAGGGGGAGCGGGAGAGAGAGGGAAAGACAGAGAGAGACACGGATGTGAGAGGAGCACATCCAGTGGGTGCCTCCTGCAGCCCGGACCCGGCACGTGCCCTTGAATGGAATGGAACTCGGGACCCTTTGGTCCGCAGGACACTCTGTCCACGGAGCCAGACCGGCTGGGGCGGCAGGAAACTGTTTCACTCCTCGTTCCGGGCCTTTCCGGTTAGACGGTGACCCCATCGAGCCGCAGGGAAAGGAACAGGGGACGGAAGGTCGGGTCGAGGCGGCCGTTCGCGGTGGCGACGCGGGGGCCGGGGCGGGGGCGGCGCGCCTCTGAAAGGAGAGGAACGGAAATGTCACGCTCCCGGCTCGGGGCTCGGGGCCGCCTCAGGCCCCCGGGTCTCTCTCTCCTCCGCCGAGAAGGCTCCTTCTTGAGCCGAGTGGAGGCTGAAGGCGCCTCCCGCGGACATGGTGGCTCCTGAGCGGTCGGTCCCCGGAGCGCAGCCGGGGGAGGCGGACTGGAGGACGGGGGCGGCCCCGCTGCGGGGAGATGGGGACTCTGTGCAGCAGCCTGTTTGTTGTAGTAGCTGCTGTTGGTGTGAATCCCCAGCCCGGAACATTTCTTCCATTGCTTTCTAGAGAGAGCGTGGGAGGGAGGCTGGTAGCGGAGAGACAGACACAGAGAGAAAGAGGGAGAGAAACATCCACGAGAGAGCGACACCACCGTTGGTATTTCTGCCAAAAGGGCACAACCTAAACCCAATAATTTGACAAACCCAAATTAAGGGGCATTCTGTAGGCCTGTGCTCGCAATAGTGTCCAAAGCTATGTGATACAAAAACCCAGCCACTTTTCCAGATGAAAACAGTCTAAAGAGACATGCTCTGCCCTGACCGGTTTGGCTCAGCGGATAGAACGTCGGCCTGCGGACTCAAGGGTCCCAGGTTTGATTCCGGTCAAGGGCATGTACCTGGGTTGCGGGCACATCCCCAGTAGGGAGTGTGCAGGAGGCAGCTGATCGATGTTTCTAACTCTCTATCCCTCTCCCTTCCTCTCTGTAAAAAAAAAAAAATCAACAAAATATGTATTTTTTTAAAAAAGAGAGACATGCCCTGAGTGCAACACGTTGGTTTGAATTTCCTTTTGAAGTGAAGGACATTACTGGGACAGCCGGTGGAATGTGAATAAAGGCCTGTGGATTAGATAAGCATAGTATCAGTTAACTTTCTGATCTTTATTATTGTAATGAGGATTTAAGAGAATTATTTGGTTTTAGGAAATTCACACTGAAGTGTTTAAGAGTCAAGAGGCATCATATCTGCAACTTAAATGGATTAAGACAAATGAGATGTATAGATGCATGTGTGTGTGTGTGTGTGTGTGTGTGTGTGTGTGTGTAAAGAGGAAGGACTAAGCCAATGTGATAATGTGTACATTTGGGGAATCTGGGTGAAGGGTATCCAGGAATTCTTTGTACCTTCCTCACAACTACCTGAAAGTCAGAAATTAAGAGAATTACACACTTAACTTCAGGTGTTTGGGTTACTGTCCATTTTTTGAGAGTACATCATCAGACAGCGACGCCTCCGGAACCTCCGAACCTCCCATCTGTAGCTCCAGCCGGACCTGGCCAGAGGACCTCAGAAGCCATGTCGCAGCCCCATAGTGGTGTCGGCACTGCCTTTATTCAGACGCAGTAGCTGCACGCAGCCGTGGCTGACATGTTCCTGGAGCACATATGCCGCCTGGACATTGATTCGCTGCCCACCACGGCCGGGAACACTGGCATCAACTGTACCATCGGCCCTGCTTGCCAATCAGTGGAGACGTTGAAAAAGATGATTCAATCTGGAATGAAAGTGGCTCGTATGACTTTTTCTCCTGGAGCTCACGAGTACCATGCGGAGACCATCAAGACCGTGTGCAGGGCACTGAAAGCTGTGGCCCTGGACACTAAAGGACCTGAGATCCGAACCGGGCTCATCAAGGGCAGCGGCACCGCGGAGGTGGAGCTGAAGAAAGGGGCCACTCTCAAGAGCACGCTGGAGAAGGCCTACATGGAAAAGTGTGAGGGAAACACCCTGTGGCTGGACTGCAAGAATATTTGCAAGGTGGCGGAAGTGGGCAGCGAGATCTACGTGGGTGATGGATTTATTTCTCTGCAGGTGAAGGAGAAAGGGGCTGGCTTCCTGGTAACAGGGGTGGAGATGGTGGCACTTTGGGCAGCAAGAAGGGCGTGAACCTCCCTGGGGCTGCTGTGGACCTGCCTGTCAGAAAAGGAGACCCAGGATCTGATGTTTCGGCTGGAGCAGAATGTAGATACGGTGTTCGCGTCTTTCAGTCGCAAGGCACCTGATGGCCATGAAGTCAGGAAGGTCCTGGGGGAAAAAGGAAAGAACATCAAGAAAATCAACAAAATCGAAAATCTTGAAGGAGAGCGGAGGTTTGATGAGATCCTGGAAGCCAGTGATGGGATCATGGTGGCTCCTGGTGATCTAGGCATTGAGGCTCCTACAGAGAAGGTCTTCCTTGCTCAGAAAATGAGGATGGGCCCTAGCCGACTTGGCTCAGTGGATAAAGCGTTGGCCTGCGGACTGAAGGGTCCCAGGTTCGATTCCAGCCAAGGGCACATGCCTGGGTTGTGGGCTCGGTCCCCAGTGGGGGGCATGGAGGAGGCAGCCAATTGATGATTCTCTCTCATCATTGATGTTTCTATCTCTTTCTCCTTCTCCCTTCCTCTCTGAAACCAATAAAGAAATATATTTTAAATAAATAAATAATAATAAAAAAGAATTAAAAAAAAAAGATGAGGATGGGGCGGTGCAAGCGAGCTGGGAAGCCTGTCATCTGTGCCACACAGATGCTGGAGGGCA